GGTTGAGATTATCATTTCTTAACCTAAAAATGTTTATTCAATGTAATTAATTATAATTATTGACTTTGCTTTTATTTTAACAAACGAAATATAAAAAAGTACATACTATATTGTAATTATCTTGTAATCGAAGTTAAATCTTTGAAAATATATATATATAGCATATATGTATTTTTCATATTGAACAGATCGCATTCAAATTGAAGCTATATTTTTTAAATAATTTAACCATTAATATTATCAGTACTTAAATGCAGTACAAAGTCTCTTTTACAAGCTAATTAAATTTGATAATTTGAATTAGTAAACAGTAATTTTTCATTTTTGTAAATATTTACTTGTATAATGTATATAAATATCATTGGCATAATTTAAGAATAAAAGATTTATGATGTAATATTATAGCAAAATTTGTTATTATCAAAGTTTTTAAAGATATCACTATAGTAAAACAATTATTTTTATGAAACTGGTTATTAAATAGAACAAAATACTGATTATAAACAAAGTAATGCATGAAACTTGTAGTTATCACGCAATTACATATTGACAATCTAATAATATTATGAACAGTGGTTCTCTTTCCACTGTTTATATTGTCACAGGAAACGTTTATTTAACAAATGTTACGTACAAATGTCGCAATTTACATTTCAAGTATAATATTATTATGTTTGTGCAAAGGGTACTTGTATGTATATTTATTTAATTTTAATCTTTATTAGATAATATTTAAGTTGAACCAGTATTTAAAATTTATTTTAATAATTTTTGTAATTTTAATATGTGATGCAAGAATTGTCTTTTAAATAAAACAAACTAATAAATTTATGTACTTTTCAAATTTTTTGCAAGAATACATTATAATTTTTTGATACATTGATATATTTGATTATATGATTTTACAGTTTAAATTTGTGCTTTACACAAATAATTTTAGAATTTTCCACGAAAACTTCCACGGCCACGATAAGATCTTCCTCCTGAATGTTTTCCTCTGTACAGATGTGGTTTCATTAAAGGACTTGATTTACCTCTTGACAACTTCCCTCTTCCATGCCAATCTGTTCCTCTTTGGAATGTGTGTTCCAATTCTAGTTCTTCTGCAGAATCTTCTAGCATCATTGGACTTTCACCGCGGCTGTGATCACTTTTATTTTCATGAAATTCATCACGTTCTTCTAAAGAATGCCTATAATTAGGCGAGTATCTTTCACGAACATAATGATCCCGTAAAGATCCTTTATGACTGGAGAAATTGTCTCTATTTCTTACTGGTGATCCCAATTTCATATTTCTTGAATTATGATCTAAGGAAGATACAGAATCTACACGATGTTCACGCTCATCGATCCTTCTCGGGGGCGATACCGTTCTATTCCAAGTTCTTTTTTGGGAAGAATTACTTAAACTCCATCTCAGATCATCAGCTTCTCGAAATTTGGGCGTATAATCAAATGTTTCACGCACATTCCAATCTAAGCGATCCATGATGGGTTTTTTTTCTTCTTTCATGGCATATAAATCTTGAGGATTCACCTGTACTTCAAAGTCAACCATAATAACACTTGCTTGAATAAATTTCGTACTTGTCTCCACTTCATCAGTTTGACAAATTTTTTGATGCATTTGTACATTTTGTTTTATGGTACTTAGGTGTTGTCCTTCTTCTTCTTCCCAATATATTTTGCTTTTGCTTTTTTGCAAAAGTATAGAATTTGATGAATATACATCCTGTTCATTTTGTACAGTTTTTTTCTTTGGATCGTAGAAAAATCGCCCCTTCATCTTTAAACGAGGATCTTCGATAGGAAGTTCGCGTAGAGCATGTTCACAATGGCGTAATATTTCAGGTTTGAATCCTATAGTGGAACAAAGGCGAAATTACGTACAATTAATGAAATTATTAATTAAGTTATGGCACTGTACTTCAATTATCTTGAATAGTACTGCCAAAATTTGTTTAGTAATGTTAGTTTACTTAATGGTAATGTGTAAAAAATATTACGTTAGAAATAAAATATCCTTAAAATATCCTTACCTGGATACAAAACTGGTAGACTAGTTGAATCTAAAAATGTATAAAAAATAAAATATAAACTACTAATTTGGTTCATTATAATAACATAGAAAAGGTACTGAAATATGTAAGAATTTGAATGATAATTAAGTAAAAACACATTCGCACCTTTAGCGGAAACAGATGCTTCCAACAGACTGGACAAACTTGTTTTTTCAAATTGCTGTAAAATCAATTCATAAGACAAATATTAATTTCCTCATACGAGAATATAAAGTTTAATTGTACATTATGTGAAAAGACACATAAATATATTACTCGCTAACTTCAAAATAATATTTGTTGTTTCTACAATGTAGGATAACGCATATGAATACTTTAGAAAAGAAGTTGCTGTTACAATGTATAATACAATTACTTTTGTATCAGAGATGACTGGTGGTTCAGGAGTCTTTAATCGTTCTTCTTGTGAAACGTGGTATCCATTATAAGAATCCGTAAATCTACGATCTCTGTAGTTTTGAGGGATTGTATCCTTAGATTTATTTAGTAATTCAAAATTCTGTATTGGGGACTGACGAGTAGAAGAAATACCATGCGATGAACTATATGTTTGTACATGTTCCACTGAAGATGTAGCAGATTCATGCTGTGGTGAAGAAATTGGTGCTGGAAGAAGTGCTGGTCGATGTGTAGGCTGAATTGAACTAGTGTTTGGCTGATTATACATTACTGGACCAGAAACGTACTCAGTTTGAGGTAATGGATGTAATGGTACAGAATCGAAATTCATTGTCTGAGATGAATTTTCAAAATTTATAAATGGTGGGCCACCAGCTGTTACACTTGATGACATTGGTGGTGCTAAACCAGGTTGGTGCATATAAGGCGGTATCGGTATTGGCGGTCTAGGTTCCGTTTCTTGTTGATACACATTATTCATTAGCGGTGATATGCCATCCATAGAAGAAGGGTGTGCATATCCAGTATTCATATGTGTTGTCATTATAGCTTCATTTCTTAGTTGTCTTGTAAGTTCATTAATAAAGGGTGATCGCTTCCTTCGGCGTTCCAACGATCTACTTCGAGTTCGACTCCTACGACGCGGACTGTAACGTCTGCTAACTGGTGAGCGACTGACTTTTCTTCTAAGACGTTCCACACTGCTTTTATTATTATAATTAAATAAAAAACAAAAATGTTTATATTATATTTAAATTTTATACAAAATTATTTCATAAAAAAAATTGTTATAGAAAATATGTTTTTACTCTTATAATAAAACTTAAGTAGTGATATATACTTAAAAATATTGTCTTCTCACCGTTCATGTATATTTATACGTCTTCTATGTCGTTCAGCACTCCATCTTCTATCTGTACTTGTTCTTCGTTCCCAACTAAGTCTTCTAACTGGACTTCTTCGTCGTTCTGGACTGAATCCAAATGGACTTCTACGAGCACAGTTAAATCTTGGACTTCTCCTCTTGTCAGGACTAAACCTTAATGGACTTCGATGTCTTTCACTGTTTATCTTGAAGGGACTTCTACAACGTTCTGGACTTAATATTAATGGAGATTTTCGTCGAGGAGAATTTAGTCTAATTCTATCGGGAGTTCTACGTCGCAATGAATTTCCTCTTTGACGTTCTAAACTTCTACGTCGTTCTCGGCTTCTGCGAATATGCATTTGTGCTTGTTCTAAATTTTGTTTTTCTGTAATGCTTTGAATTGCTTCAGCTTCTGTACCTGGAGGTACAACATTATCAGAATCCAACAAATGCTTGATAGCTTTTTCTTTCTCTGCTAAGAGTTTGCTTTCATTATCTCTTTTTGTACGTATTTTATCCCTCTCTATATCTTTTGTGCTTTTAGAAGGATCACGACGTAGTTCTTCATGTTTCTTGTCTTCTCTCTTTGGCCTTTCACGATTGTAAGATCCTTTGTGGTCACGTCGATGTCTGTCCCTACAAGTAGGCTTACAATCATTCTTTTCTATACATTACTAAGTATCCAAATGAAAGAACATAAATTTCTGAACATAAAATATAACTGTACAATGTAATACCAGATATTAAAATCAAATGTGTGTAAGTAAAATGTAAATCAACACCATATAACTTCAATGTTAATATAATATTTTATATAATTTAATATTATTATATAACATTATATGATAAGATAATTTCCATAATATGATGAGTAACAATAACATAATGAATTCTATATGGTGCTACCTAGAAGAACGCTTTTGTTCTGGATCCTTGGCATGTGTAGTTTTAAGTTCAATGTCACGGCCCTTTTCTTCATCACCTTCCCAAGCATCAACGACATCTAAACCTTCCATAAAATCTTCATCATCAAGAAATTCTTGAAGTTCTTCATCTGGTATATCCTTTAAACCTTCAATTGCACGTTGAACATCTTCATTTGTACTTTTCAATATAGATTCCTTTTTGTCTGCACTTTGTTTTTGACAAAACTGATCCATTGATTCATTTTTCACATTGTTCTTTACACTTGAATCTTTCATTTTTTTAGCTGAATCACACATGGTTCTGAAAGATTAACTAAACTTTGGAATTAATTGAAAAAACACCATAAAATTTAAGATTTCATGTTTTTCATAACCAAATAAGTTTTTAGCAAATGTTTGGAAAACCTAGATTTAATCTTCTAAATAAAATGAAGTAGATTCAAAATCTTTCAGAGAATATTGTTGTTTTTGATTTAAATTTAAAACTTAAAATATATGTAAGTGGTAAATAACAAAATTTTTCAATTAAACATTCACATAATAAAAATGCATTAAAATGAATTAAACTTTTACGGAGCTCGCATTATTAGGTACATTTGATTTCTTTTAAATTATGTACTTAATAGTAAGTGTTCTTCAACACATTGAATTTCAAATAATGAACGCACCTCTTAACCTTTTGATGGAATATACAAAATTGATATTAACACTCTCATTACGTAAGTCGTATTATCTTTATTTAAAATCAAAATAATTTAAAAAATCGTGTATTTCTCGATTTTGTAAATAATGCTTATAATACAGTCACGTTAAGAATCAAAATTGCAGTTGTTTGCCAAGTAGATTGCTCTAATGGATAATGTACGCACTTATTGTTAATAATATTTTAGTACAATTAAGTAGACAACACGTGACCTCAATGATAATTACAACGCATACCGATAATGATATAAACGAATAACAACTAGCTTGTTTCTTCTTAAGCTATGTTACGTAGAAATATTTGAATCCGAGAAATCCGGAACTTCGAAAGTCAACATCTACCTATTCCGCCATATTAGTTACTAACAGATTTGACGTATGATATAAAACAAGGGCATGCTTGTATGCATTCTCATGTAAAAGTAACTTGACAAAAAAACAAGTTTAAATTATGTATTATAAATGCAAAAACGTAGATTATTTATTTCAATTACCCTAATGTTTTATTCAATTATTATTAACTTTATAACAAGTATTCATTTAACTAGTGTTATTCAATTTGTTTCTTTTAAATGAATTTTATATTAAACAAAGAAGAGTAAAAGTATATAATTTAAATTACATACGTATTCCTATTATTGGTAAGTAACTCTAATATTTGGTCACTTCTAAGGAGGCATG